CAGAGCTGGTCCTCCACCGCACAGAGCTGGTCCTCCACCGCACAGAGCTGGTCCTCCACCGCACAGAGCTGGTCCTCCTCCACACAGAGCTGGTCCTCCACCGCTCAGAGCTGGTCCTCCACCGCTCAGCTCCAGTCGCTCCCGCAAGGTGGCCTGACAGGAAGTCGGAACTGTGTGGAGTCTTTGCTAGTGCCAAGTTCAGTTCCAGCTTTGGCTGCAGGGGGTTTCAGCCTTCTCCTCCTTGCAGAGTTCCTGGGGAAACTCTCATGTTTCGGGTCCCTGGTTAAACATTCGGATAGACAAGAGAGGGGCAGGTGTCCTTTAGAACTGCACTTCCTGCTGGGTGTCTCACTGTCCGGGTGAAGTTCTTGGCCTGTATCTGCTGATCTCACCGTTGGGAATGTCGCCAGGGCCCCTGCGAACCCCTGTGAACCACATCCTGTGTCCCCACCACTGAGTGCTAGTTTATGACTTTCTGTGACTATAAAAGTTTGTGGCGCGTGACCGTCAGGGTGACAGGGATCTGCGTTCCCGGGCCAGAGTCACATGCCCTGGCCTGGCGTGGACAATCTCCCCACCTCTCTTCCTTCCGGTCAGGCTGGGTTCTTGTCTGACCAGAGAAATTGTTGACCAAGCGACCAACTGTGTAGCTGGCGGCAGTGAGTGGAGACCACAGGAGGCCGCTGAGAGACGGGGAAGCTGAGGCCTGGATTCCACCTGGGGATCCTCCAGACCCTTAGAGTAAGGGTGGGCTCCCAGGTGAGGCTGGGAGTCCATCTCAGTCTACTCCTAAAAGAAGTTACACATGTTGGTTCATACCTCCGCCCCAGACCCAGCAAGGCTGAGGCCAGAGGATGGCTTCAGGCCACAAGTTGAAGGCCCAGCCCAAGGGGGCCACAGCAAGACCCCAGCTGCTGAGCCAGGTGTATTCCCAGGAGGTGACATCAGACACACAATGATGTGTTTCAACAACTTTATTGGTTTCTGGGTAAAAAATGTGAGGTCTCCCAGAGCCCAGCCTGGCAGGCCATTCTCTTCTTGGGGTCCCAGACACCGGGTTGGGGACTCAGCGGGAGCCTGGGGTCAAAGAGAAGGCACACTGGGCTGGAGGAGGCTCTGGAGGGCAGGACAGCTCCGAGGGCCCCGGGCAGGCCAAAGGGAAGCACTTTCACGAGGTGTGGCGCGGCCTCCCTGGGCTGGGCCACTCCAAGCCTTGGGCATGAAGAGCCTCAGGCCACCCAGCATTAGTTAAACCTCTTAAAAGAAAAACTCTGTGAGACTCCCCCAAACAAGACTGGGATGTGAAACCCCGTGCCCCAGTGTGACAGGGAACCCGGCCACAGTGAGCCAGGTCCCAGTGCAGGGCCCTGACAGGCCCCACGCCCCACGGGTCCTGGGCACAGTTGGGCAACCATGAGCCTCCCCAGCAGCTGAGGGAGGGGCGTCCAGGAGGCTGTGCAGGGTCTCCTGTCTCTCGTTATTTTTCAAGTTTATTTTAATTCTGTGTCTGTGAGAGTTCGGTGTCTGGGGAGGCCAGGAGGCGCCGCTGGATCCCCTGGAGCAGGAGTCATGGCCTTGTGAGCCCGGCTGGGGCGGCTGCAGGGCACGGAACACAAGTCCTCTGCGAGAGCAGCCAATGCCAAAGGCGGAGCCATCCTTCCGGTCCCATAATCCTCTCTTTTGCTTTTCGTTCGTTTTTCAGACAGGGGTTTCTGTATTCCAGGCTAGACTCAAACTCAAGCTCATCCTCCTGCCTCAGCCTCGAGTGCTGGAGTTGCAATAGAGAGGCGCCAGGTTCCGGTTCTTACTCTTTAAAAGCAACCACAACCCCCATATTTTATTTTGTGGGTCTGAGTGTGCACGTGTGCCGTGGCATGTGTGGAGCAGAACGTGTGCTGTGGCATGTGTGGAGCAGAGAACAGCTTCTGGGGGGCATTTCTCTTCTGCCTTGTGGTGCTCGGGGATCAAATCGAAGCTTTTAGGTTTGGTGGGAGCTGGCTTTACCCACTGAGCCATCCTGCCTGCCCCTCTTACTCTCTACTTGATGCTTTGTGAAGACAGAATCTCATGTAGCCCAGTTGGGCTTCTGACGATGTAGGAGGGGCTGGCCTTGAACTCCGGATTCTCCTGCCTCCACCTCCAGGGCCTGGATGATGAGACCCTTACAGCTGGAAATCCCCACAATGAGCTTGTCCCCTGACAGGTGTGAGCAGAAGCCACTGACAGGTGTGAGCAGAAGCCACTGACTGACAGGTGTGAGCAGAAGCCACTGACAGGTGTGAGCAGAAGCCACTCACTGACAGGTGTGAGCAGAAGCCACTGACAGGTGTGAGCAGAAGCCACTGACAGGTGTGAGCAGAAGCCACT